AGTCAATATTCTTAGTATTTTTTTTTTTTTGAAATGGTGGCTAAATGAAAATTCGAATTTAATTTCAAAAAATTGTTATTGAGAAAGATATTCTGTAAACCTTAATTTCTAAAAGCATGGTCATACCATAGAGATTTGTTACCATAATTGTAGGAAAAATCAAAGGAGTATCTTCTTTAATTTCATTCACAATATTATTGGTAGAGATAATATAGAAAATATTTTACGTAAAGGATAATAATAATAATAATAATAATAATAATAATATTATAATAATATCTATATGAATATCGATAATTTGCATTTGATTTTTGAAATATTATACTAAATCTATTGAATTTGATTTTGTAAAGAAATTGTTAATCTAAATTTATTTTTTGTTTTATGTGACAACCTCTAATAAAAAATCTGGAACCAAGTAAATATTGTTACATCATAAACACGAAAACAAACTTACCTTGCCGGCAATCGATCTCTTGTCGATGCCCACGCATTCTCGTGGCATTTTCTTAGATTTTTTTTGGAGGTCAAACGACAGTTCAAACTAGAAAGAAAGTGAGAGAGATAGAGAGAGGTTGAGAGAGTCCGAGAGAGTGTATGAAAAGAATAAAACGGTAATTCAAGAACGGTACGTCGTAATAGAGAGACGGGGAATAGCAAAAGTCTTTTAAAACTATGGTAAGCGCAGCGCACACAAACTTTTGGCCCAGGCCGGTTCACTCAACCGTCAACCCTAACTTAATTTAATTATAATTATAATGTAATGAAAGTGGAAAAGCAGTTGATGTTCTTCTCCGCCCTAATTGCATTCACAAACCAATTCCTTTGCTCCGGTAGCTAACCTAGCCGTTCCCACCGGGACCGTCGACCAAAGACCTCGCTCGTCGCTGCCGGGATTCTAATCTATTGGCAAGAATCCTTCTCTCTGCTCTGTAAGTTTGTTTTTTTCTATGTTTCGAAATGCGAACCCATAATTCGGAGTTTTTAATTGAGTTTTGCCTTCGTTTTGACGTAGTAATTATTATGATAATGCTTGAATTGGATGATTCTATTACCGTTTGATGCATATGCGAGTGAAGCTGATGATATAATCGTTTTAGGCAAAATGCATCCGTCATCACTCTGATTGATACAGATACAACTTCTATTCTGTAATTTTTTATTTCTGTTCAGGCTTTTGTTATCAGTATGTCCGTGGACTGGTGCACACTTGCGCAACAATTGCGACCGATTGAATTAATTAGTACCAGCATACTTGCCAACACAAAATATTAACCATCCATTTGAAAATCTTTGTTAATTTATTTGACATCTAGTAAATATTGCTGAATCTATTCGATTACTTCAAATTTAACTGCATTAATTTCTGTATATATATATTTTTTTGTTTAATTTGTATTGATATGAACATTGATCGAACTTTGGAGGATATGGATGATGACTTGAATTATTGCACGTGAGTTTGGGTTGGTGGTTATTCTCGAGATATGTTGGTTTGGATAAAGTCTGTCAATAGAAATTGCTATTCTTCTCTTTCTCATTGGACGCAGAAACCTTTAGGAAAGTGTCATTTTGTATCAACTCACATAATGAACTCATGAGGATGAAAAGTTGCAGCATGCACATTATCATCTGTAAATGAACACTTCAACAGGCTTTATAATATATTTTATTTTCCGAATCAAGCCTCTCAAAGATTATTCTTTGCCTTGGTCATACTGTTATCAAATGGCGGCCATGGCGTGGCGGATTTTTGACAATCCACCATGCAAAACTTGTGAAGGATGTCGGTCATGGCGGCGCTGTAGGTCGCCACAGCGGCTGCTATGGCGGAATTTGGGTAAACCGCCATTCCCCATTAATAACACGCTTGGTCAAGACGTCACTGGCAGTATTTTATTTATTTTTTATTCTGAATAGGCCTCTTTAATTGTAGTAGTAGTATTTGTTGTTGTTCCTTGAGCTAATTTTGCCTTAAAGGGCTCAACAGAGCAGTAAAAAATACGTTCAATTCAAACTTGTTCCTGCGCCCTTTTATACATAGTGTGCTTGGCTAGATTCCTAAGTTACCATCTTCATTTACTTTCTACAAGTTCCGTATGGGGATGTTGTCAACCATTTAAAAAAAAAAAGACAGATTGGACCAAGTTGCATTTTTATTTTTTACATGGTGGTACATGTGTTCCTTGTTATAGGCATATATTGTGTTGTACAACTTTAAACATTTAACAATTTTATGTGCATGGTCTCTCTCATTTTATTTTTAATAATCTTTTTATTCAAAGTGCTGCAAACCTGCACTTTCAAAGTCCCTGATAGGGGTGCACAAACTTTGGTTAACCGACCGAAACCGAAAATTTAGTTCGGTTTTCGGTTTATAATTTTTAATATTTCAGTTTTCGGTTCAGTTTGGATATAACCTCTCGGTTAACTGAACCAAACCGAAAAACCGATCCTGTACATATAAGTTAAACAGGTCCAATTTGATGATATATTGTTCAATCCTGGCATTAAATACAATATAGAACACAACACTTACAGGCCCAAAGCCCCACGGCCCAAGTCCCAACCATAACAAGACAGGCCCAAACCTAATCCATGGAAGTTGAAACTTGGAACACCTCATCTGATCATTAATCCGTCAATCATCTTCCATAAAGGCATAGACTCATAACCATTACCCATACTGCCAAATCTCAATCTCCCAGGCAGTGAACGAGAATTTCAATTTTTTAGCAAATCTCTTAAGTCCTAAACGAAAACCTTACCTCCTAACATCGTCTCCGCCGTCCGCCGCGCTCGGCGCCTCTGAAGTCTGAAATCTCAAGTTGCCTCGCTCCTGCTCCTGCTCCTGCTCGTGATTTTATTTTTTTGGTTAATTTTATGTTCCTGCTCCTGCACCAACCCTATTCAAGTTCGTGATTTTTTTTTGATTAATTTTTATGCCTATGATATGATTCAGAGCTGCATACAAGTTCCTTTTTTTTTTTTTTTTTTTTTTTTT